ACCATCTGGTTTTATCTAATCTGTGATAACCCATGCAGATAAATACTAAATTTAATAATAATACTAAATTTCACCTTTCCTTCCATCTTAAATCTTAAACTTTAATAACGTTGAAAGTGATTATCCAAAAGTGGTTAACGGTCGGTCAACAATGTCAGTAAATTATTTTTAATTGAATATATACTATAAGTATTCAAGTTTGACAAGCTCCTAGAGCTCTGTGTAATTTGATAGTATTGTAAAAAAAAAAAAACATTAATGAAGTGTCTCCAAAATGAAAAACTGCAAAATTGCAATCATCCTAAGAGACTATAAGTGTTGTTATCCTTAATGAAGCACTCTGTAGACTATCCGATTAAATGAGCGTCTTACGTCAGGTGGATCACCCTGTGGAGTGCTGTCGATCTGTGATTTATCTGGATACCGTCCGTCGATCGTTGCAGACGTGATCAATCGTCAAAAAATAACCAAACGTTAACGATAACATCATTTTCATTTTTCGTCTATCCGTCGCCACCACAACAATGGCTTTTGCTCGAGCTACACCTGGCCCGGACCCTTCTTAGGTCCTTTCTTCTTCTTCTTCTCTTCGGCTGGCACACGCCGGGGTGATTGTATTATAGGAACCCTAGACGTTCGCCGGTCCCCCGCGGCGGTAACACCCGGATATACGCTTGCGGTGGTCGCGCTTTACAGTGTATTATTATATACTTACTATCATCGTCTGCAAGAGACTCTTCCAACGGAGTTGTTCTTCGTTCTGTCGGAGGTTCACTGAACTCGTGACGTTTGTAATTACATGTAAAAAGACCGAAAAAAGCCAGTACAGTTGGGGCGGGAGAGGTTACAGGTCTACGCAGGAATAATTATCAGGCTAATATTGGGCGTTTATCTCCCAGGGTGAGGGGTGGACTTTTTTGAAACTTCTGTCCATGTACTTGTCTGGTGCGATTTGTGATTTGTAGAGTTGCTACGCACGAAGAAATCATTGGTTCAGCTGTTTAGAAGATAATATTATGATAGGTCCAGACAAAAAAAAAAGAGAGAGTTGGGAGAAAAAGTACTTGAGAACAAGTAAGTCTAATACACAGTACTAAGTATGCAAGTTTAAGAATTATGTAAGTAGCTTGGGTAGCAAGGGCAATGTTATTTAGATGTAGATTGTCCCTGCCGACAGTGGTCGAATCTTATCGATAGGGATTTTCTATTTCTGTATTCACTACAGTATTATGCGCGATCGATACTGAATTATGTAACCGATTTTTGTATTTTATTATATCACCATTTTTTTTTTTTTGGATAACGGCTGAACATAAAATATGATGTTTATTTGATCCGCGGACGTGATGCTGTAAGACTATGATAAACCGTTATGTCTTGAGTTTAGTACACATCCGTTCAAACACAAAATTATTATTTTCCCAAGCGAATGCACACTTTATCTACCGACCAACTACTGCGTATTTATTATAACTTGTACAAATACAAATACCCATAATAATAACAACGCATTTCAAACAATTTTTATAGTATCTTCTAAAATATTTCGAATACAAATAATAATAGTTACAACAACAACATTAATAATAACAACAAAAATATCATTAAGTCATTACAAAATAAATATTGGGCTTTTTTTTCTGCTTTTTCGCCTTATGTTTGATGTCTTATGTCCATACATTTGGGACCAGCCAGCGAAATCCTCTCTCTCTTCCTCCTTTTTATTTTATCACTCCACTCATTTCTATGTTTAATATGCACCGTCGTGTCAAACCATTAAGTTACCTCTTTCTAGCTCATCTAACTACGCTTTGTTCGAATAACCACATTTTCTTGAATTTCTTCATTCCCTTGCTTTCAAAATATATCCATTAGTCTTCTCCTTTCTGCCAACCTAAACTTAACCTAACCTTACCTATTTAATTCAAATTTAACCTAAACCTGACTGATTTTTCATCAACGGTCCCTTATCGCTGTTCTCTTATCAGGAACTGTTATCAGATGTATCTTTTCATCATTCTCTTATCAGATAAATATATATATATATAATATATAATAAACTAGATTGCTAAATGTACATTCCGCCATTAGAGATTACAGAAGTTCCCATTTTCCGCCATATTTGTGAAAATTAGAGCCTTATCACTTGAAAATATTTTTATAACAATTATAAGTTAAGTTGATATCACAGAATCATATATATATATATATTGTTGTATACACACATAAATCCTACAAAAACAGCAGACGTCGACTTCCATTCTTCTTATCACCAGTAAGCAATCTAGTATGTGTTACCAATTATCAGGCGTCTCTTATCAATATTGGAAATCTGTGCCCCCTCCCAACCGTCTAATTCCCCTATAATCATTTACTCATATATAGGTAGCGTCGCATATTCCGTGACGTGACCCTAATGTAACTGTGGGATGGCAGTGTTACCAACTGAATTACAGCATAAAATATGGCAATGTTTAAATAATTGTCGGTCGCCGAAAAACAAAGCGTCCGTCTAACAGGCGTAGGACAGACAAGAGGAGGACAAAAAGTGGAAAGGTGTTCTCGAAATGAATTAATAATGACGAGGAAAATCGATATTTACTACTCGTTTGCATGTTTGGCGGCGGCGGGGAGGTTGCGTTTTCGATTTTCGAGTGTCCAACATAAATATTTGCTCGCTTCTTTGTATAGGTATAAATGTACTTTTTTTTTGTTGCTTTTTACACGCCACGTTATTCTAATATATTATATAATATTACACATTGTGCGGTGGCGATTTGGAAAAGCTGTGTGTGTGTGTGTGATAACGAAAAATACATGCATTCGTACAACATTATCAAAGTGCAGACACGTTTGTGGGTCAACCACGAGCGACTCGTATTATAATAGGACAATAAAATATTCATGTTGTCCGAATAATCGAATAAGACGCGAAGGAGTCGGTTGAAAGCAAAAAAAAAAAAATACTGCCTAATGATGATCACCCACACATTACCATTCGGTGGGACTTGGTTAAGCAAAAATAGTTATCTGTTAGTATCGTTTAACAAACTGTCTGAAACTACTGTGTGTCAGACCACTAAGCATATTGTAAATTAAAACCACCTTCACGATGTGCCAAAAAAAATAAGGTAAAAAATTGAAAAGATTATCACAGACGGTGCACTTTATCGTTTACTGATAACGGCAACCCTGCTCAACTCAGTGTGGCCACATTCTAGAAAATAAATTATCATATAAAAAGGTTTTTACTCGAATAGTGTTTGATATAGTTGTTTTATTATATATTTGGTCTGATTTGTATGTTTGATCGACTTAGTCAGTTCCGAAACATTTTTTTTTTTTTTTCATAAAGACATTTTCTTTTCTTTTTTATCTACCAGTGGTCACTCTAAACTGAGTGAGGTACACTGTCTGGTCTTATCTAGTCTATTGTGATCAAACCGAAGAAATACAGAAGAAGTATTTAAGTTGTTTCGGCTTTTTTGTAAGGTTTTGTGCGTTTGTTGTATAATATTGCCCGGGCAGCATAGATAAGATTTTATGACAGTAGCTCTGTAATCTTCGGTACATAATAAAACACTTAACAACAACGACAATTCAAATTATTACTATTGTTATTGTTGTTCGGGGAATACTTTGATGTGCATCATAAACGTTATGATAATATATATTGCAACAGAGCACAATCATTACATACATAAGAACTGTTTTTTTTAAATTAGGTTCTGACGGATTTTGAAGGTCAGCATTTCGACAGAGTTAAAAAAAAACTTCTTCTAAAATTTCAATGCAAAATTTTACTTAAACCAATACCACAAAGTATATATTTTTATTCTGTCTCGTTAATCAATTAGCTAAAGATATATATATATATATTTGGCATCCTCACAGACCATATTAGCTTATCGAACATCCGGAGAGCAAAGCGTGGAGGCGGAACAGAGTAATCTCTGACGACCTTTAGAGCATCATAATAACATTATGTATATAATATATTGTTATATTATTAATATTGTGCACTAAGTGAAAATCGATAACACCGTTTGGTTGTACCGACCGAACAATTTAGATTTATTTGAAAAGCAAAATAATATTATAGTTGGACAAGGAATATTATTGTAAAACCACAAATAGTCTGAGAAAAAAAAACTTTAAAAGTTTTACCTAATTAGGAAATTAGTGTTCAAGAAAATCCAAACCACTCAAACACTATTATATAAAATCGCATATTGCCTTTATAGTATTTCTATTGACCTTAGTTAATATTATATTATCAATAAACTCATATCAAAGCGCTTTTTTAAAAATTATTTTCCACAGTTCTGCCGACTTTTAAAACTTAAATGGTAACGTATATTATTATGTTTAGTTAACTTTTTAGATTGAGAATAATTTGCTAAACATTTTTATTGGACGATGGTCAGTTTTGGCCGGTTAATTTCAAAGTTATTGAAGTTAAAAATTTAAGTGAGGAGAAAGGGTTGAGTGTAGCAATATTTTTGTATGCGAGCTGTCGTCCAAAAAAGTTGCAACTTTTTAAAAAGAAAAACAAGCATAAACTAACATAAATTTAACTTCTTTTATTTAAAAATATTAGTTTAATTTTTTAAATTTTGTTTTATTTGAGTAACAGTAAATATTCGAATAACGCCCAACTGTCTGTTTGTATTGAGTCTATTTTATAAGTATTTTTTCCTAGAACTTCAGTGCTATCCGGACTTATGAAGTTATTACCTTCCGTGACTTTCAAGAAGTTAGTAATCAAACAAGTATATTGTGCGACAAAAACGATACAAACACAATAGTTTACTTCTATTATAGTTATTGTTGCTTATTGCATCAGTAAAACGCAAGCAGTGATTTCAAAACGTTATCTCAAACACAACATGTAATATAATACATCGTTGTTGTGAACGGCGCGCCTCAAGGTAACCGGTGGCAGTGGTGGCGGCAACGGCTTCGGCCGCGGCACGCCGGTACCGTAGTAGTGCGACGACAATGACGACGGCCGCAGTGTGGACACTGACGGTGGTGGCCGGCGTAATATGGCCGGCGGCCGACGCGGCCAACGGCGGCACGCCGCCGTCGTTCCGGTTGACCGTGTTGCACGCCAACGACGTACACTCGCGGTACGACGAGACCGGCCGGGACGCCGGCAAGTGCGTGACGATCGACAGCGGCGCGTCGTGCACCGGTTACGGCGGCATGGGCCGGTTAAGGAACGCGCTGGACAGGGAACGGGCCCGGGCCAGGTCCGACGCCACCGTGTTCCTGTTCGCCGGCGACGCGTTCCAGGGCACACCGTTCTACGACCTGATGCGATGGGAGCCGGCGGCCGACTTCCTGGGCGAACTCGGCGTAGACGCCATGGTACACTCTACGGCCACGTTTAATATATTAGAGAGGGGGAGGGGGGGGCTGGAAAAATGAGATATACAGGGTGATCAATTGAAAAGTAGGATATTCAATATTACCATTTAAGTTTGTGTTACCTACTATTGTAGTAAATCCATTTTCGACAAACAAATGGAATTCAAAACCATTTGGTCCTTGCTGCTTAATTTTCTTTACTTTAATTACCTTACCTTAAGTATTATTGCTGGCTCATCTATAGTTTTTGCGTTTCTTTTGTTTATATTTGTACTGTTCATAAGCAAAGTTGAGCGTCGTTATTGATATCTAAATAATCATCTAGATAGCATATTATCATTCAAGTAAAAGTTGTTCGAATAGTTTCAAAAATAAATATTCGAATACTTTTCAAACATAATACTATTTAAATAGTTTACAAGTGCTTTCGTTGAGTAATTATTTTTTAAAGCATTATTTCGTATAAATAATATAATAATATACTATATTTACAGTTTAACGGTTTTCGCTCTGATCAGCAATAATAACAATAATTGTTTTAATGTATGTATTTGTTTAAAATGCACACTTCATCCGTCTCGGTCGTTAACTTCTTTCCTTCTATCAATGTACTTTTTATTCAATCGCACAAAATCAAATACACAAGACGTACATCGACTGCAACAATAATAATTATTACCACATTGCCGAGGTATTCAGCTTTACATAATATATATATATATATATATATATATATATATTTTTAATTGCTCAAGTCAACCGTTCGAAATGTCTATTTGATCCGATCGAAACGAATAGGTGTGTTCTTTAAAAATCACTTTTTACGGCTGTTGCAGTTAGAAGAAATAAAGCATTAAGCTGCTTGAGTATGACATATAAAAAATACAAATAAATACAAACTTCATAAAACTGTTCTTTAACAATAATAATTATTAGATGCGGCTTTGAATACGCGATAAATAATATATTTTAAAGCGATATTATTTCATTTTTTTATTATCATCAAAACCGAGTCTGAAGGTCGGCACAGATAACACTACTCGGCTTTTATAATATTATTTAATTATTATAGACAAAACAACGTATACTTATCGTGGTGAACACAAGAAAATTGATTATTAATAATATTATTATATAACTTTGAACACTAATAACAATAGCAGCATGCCATCGTTTTATGAGGGGTTTAATGGGGCTTTCTTTTTTGTTAAAAGACGTTTTACCGAGATAACTTGGCGATAGAATGTCTTTTACCCCGAGACGGGATGTGTGTACCATATTGTGTATTATCTATATGACTATTGACTAGGCGCTGAGTAAACTGTGTGTATTTACCTGGTATACATTAGGAGCGGTGATCGCATAAAATAAATAGTCAGCTAAACAGAGCATGCGGTTACTTGTTATTTGGATTTATCACTTGTATAGTTCCATCCTTTATATTTTAATCCAATCATTTGATTTTTATCATATCTATTTTAGCTTGCCCCTTGAAAGTCATTTATTGGTGACTTTCTTGTCCTTCAAAGAGTTAATTTAATATGTTCGTTACCGTTTAAGTTTCAACAGTTGAAAGAGATCTGGACATATTCGAGTGTCTCACCCAGCATTGTGTAGATCGTAATGACCTACATAATATTTTGATTTGATCTGCAGTGTTTGGGTAACCATGAGTTCGAAGACGGACCTGCCGGACTTGCACCTTTTCTCAACTCCGGCAACATGAGTTCCATACCGGTGGTAGTGACCAACTTGGACATAACCGACGAACCGACCCTGTCCAAAATCCAACAGTCTACCGTTTTGAACGTGGCCGGTCACACGTTGGGCGTGGTCGGATACTTGACTCCTGACACTGTGGTATGTTCATATAAAAACCTTGACAAAAAGTCACACTTGACCAAGCTTCTTCATCCTAACAATATCATAGCACACATTCGGTGTGTAAGGATATATAAGGATATAAGGATGTATAAGGATATAAGGATAAAGAAGTATGTATAAGGATATATAAGGATATAGAAGGATGTATAAGGATATAAGGATTTGAAGGATTTAGAAGGATATAAGGATACATTTTTGTTAGGTTTTTTGGTAACTTAAAGACGTAAAATGTCAAAAACCTTTTCCTACCATTGTTAAATAATAATTACTGTGCTGCAGTGGTCGAACAAAGCGGGCAAGGTAAAGATAAATGACGAGATTGAGAGCTTGAAACCAGTGGTGGCCGAGCTCAAGAGACGCGGTGTCGAATTCGTCATAGCCCTTGGGCATTCGGGACTGGAAATGGACAGGAGAGTGGCCAGGGAAGTGGACGGAGTGGACGCGGTTGTCGGCGGCCACTCGCACACTTACCTGTTCAGTGGTAATTATAAAAACCCAATAATGATAATAATACTATTTTGACTCCAATACAAAATACTGATGGTTTTACTAGACACTTCACACAGCAATTGATAAAAACACACACACACACACACACACATACATACAGATACAAAATAAGCTGTTGTTGTGTAAATTAACAAAAAAACATAATACGGACACACCTGTCATGCGGCCATAATAATATTTCAAAGAACTAAATCATCGCTAAACGGTCAATCGTTTAACCCATCCACACACACACACACATAGACACACGCCCATTTATAAAACCAGTTATTTACAATGTGTTGCTCGAGAAAAAAATATCCTTAAAGGTGTTTAAATACAACTGCAGCAACACCGACAAGACGTGTTATCGACACGGTGTTAAGGTATAATATATAATCATATTTGGTTGGCCGAATATACAACAACCTCTAATTAGTACCCCGTGTATAGGTTTCAATTAGCAGGAACACCGTTATTATTAAGATATATAACCAAGTTCAATATGAATTGTATGCCAACTGGAATGGCCCGAGGAGTTTTTAAAGGATTTAAACTTACCTAATATCCTAATAAAGTCAGCCACGCCGTTGCGTTCCGAACCGTCTTAATAATTTTATTATTTAAAAAAATTAGAATGCCTAAAAAACGAACTGTGCCAGGAAAAGACAGGCGAACGACGAGATTATGTAGGCGTACAATAAAATGGTATTTCAGGTGTTTTGGAAATAACAAATAAAAAATAAAAAAAGGTTATCAACCCCTATTGTCTATTGTACGACTGCTGCTGTGTGTTGGGACGACGTCGAATTCCGGTAGATCACCTGTTAACGGCGCAACAGCTGTTGCGTTTGTGCTCGTCTGAAAGCGAAAGGTGGACTGCATGGTTGGTCGTATAGTGCACAGAGTACACATACAATAAATGTATAGATATTTTTCATAAATCAGTCGGTGTCTGTCGCGCGCCGCCTTTAAGTGCCAGAGACACGAACAAGAACAACATGTTATTATTTTAAACTTCACAGTACCTACAGGGGTCGGGGCACAGTGGTGTGTACGGTCACAGGTCACAGGTCTACAGGAATTCTTATAACCATAGATATGTATGCAGGACCTCGGCAAGACTCGGAAATCCCGGTTGGTCCGTACCCCTTGTTGGAGAAAAGGGGCAACCTGACGGTGCCGGTAGTCCAAGCTTACGCCTTCACCAAGTACCTGGGCAAGATGGTGCTGACTTTTGACGGACTTGGCAAATTGGTCGACGTGGCTGGCGAGCCGATCCTGTTGGATCGCAACATACCGCAAGGTCGGGTCGATTCGCCCCGTTAGTCTGTACTTAGAGATTACAGAGAGTAGAGTTTCATGTGCATTTTCGTTTTTTCAGACATCAAAACCGTGGAAAAAGTCAAACGTTACAAACGACTGATGGCCGAAAAGAAGTCGGACAACCCAGTGGGAACCACCAAAGTGCTTTTGGACGGTGACGGGTGCAGGTGTGCAGAGTGCAACCTGGGCAACGCCATTGCCGACGCTTTCGTTCGGTCGGTGAGTGTGTAGTTAATTAGGCACAAAACATGCTTTCTTTATATTATAAAACAGTTAAACAGAAAAATGCATATCGAATCCGCGGCGTTGCATCCTATCAGTTAGCAAGCTACAGTTAGTTGCAAGCTATATTTTATTGAGTCGCAGAATCTTGAAAAAAAAACACCTTTGATGCTCGTTGTCATCAAATGTATGTTAAAGATCCGTGCCAGTGTAAAGCAGTATGACACGTTCCCCTGCGCTCCTACTTGAAATCTCCTATTTGTGATCCTCTGAATCTAGTCTTGCTGAAATTGCAATATTAAATTGAATTTCTACCCTCGCAGAACGTGAACCGGCTAATGAACGACAATGCCAGCTGTACCGGTTGGACGGATGCGGCCGTGGCCATAATGCTGGCCGGTGGCATTCAAAGGTCGATCACACAAGGTAAACTAACGGCTTGCAGTATGAGAATATAATATTAGCATTATCCCATGCAAATGGGGTCAGCCAGACAAATCCAGACGATGTATTTCTCTGTTTACGCGCAGGAACGGTGTTCAAAAGTAACGTGTTGACCGCTCTTCCTTACAAGTCACCCTTGAACAAAGTGACTCTGACCGGGCGGACCATTGTCGAAGCTCTGGAGCACAGTGCTTCGTTATTGGACAAGCCCAAGTGCGCCGTCCCCGAAAAGAACATCTACGGCGGTTTCATGCAGGTGGCGGGTGAGACGACCTGAAGAAATGGATATCCACCTCTCGTGCGGTTGGTTAAATATGCCCGCCTTTTCCTGTTGCAGGACTTCAGGTGACTTACGACATGAAACAAACGGAGGGCTCGAGGGTGCGATCGGTGGCGGTGCGGTGCGCCGATTGCAGGACACCCTTGTACGAACCCCTATTGCCGGAGCGCAAGTACAAGGTGATCCTATCTAAGTATGTGGCCAACGGCGGGGATTTGTACAACATGATCCGGGATGACAAAATCGACTCTGAGGACTTAGGCGAGTGCACTGTGAATTAATTTTTAAATATTTTCGACCACACCTCCGCTGAGAATTCCATTCAAAAAACTCAACACGAATATTTCCTATTAATGAACGTCTTAAGATAAATAAAATCGTACATATTAATCCTGTTTTCAAGAGGTTTGCATCCGCCTACGTTTGACTCCATCCATGTGAATACACTAAACTCCTTGGGGATAAGCCTCAGTCGAATAATCCGAACTGCTCTCCACCCTACTGGTCCTTCTGGGTCGGTATGGAAGTTATTTTTAAATCGATACACAATACAACGTAATTGAGAGGTGCGTTAATTGTATGGAATTATTTTCATTTTTCTACCACACTGTTTTTAACGACCATAAGAAAAGTTCCGGTGTAATTCGAAACAACCACCCTACTAAACATTATGCCACTCGCATTGCGTTTTATTGCTTTCGGTTTAGAAATAGATATTATTATACTCAACAATATAATGCTCTATTATTGTTCGTTCCAAGCAGGTATTACCGAGGTGGACGCGTTACACGATTACATCAAGCAATTCAGTCCGATCATTTCTCAAATCGAAGGCAGATCGCTGGTCTTAAAATGAAAACGAGACGTCCGAAACTATTGTTTTATCGATAAATTATGAAATAAAATACAAAATGTATAGTGTTTTAATCGTGTCATCTTTTTATTCCCCCCTTACAGCACCATAGGCCAACCGCAAATACTCTAGTCTGTTCACAAAATCCAAGTGTTTGAGATCTATCGACATGATCAGCACACCGCACATGCCTGTATGTTTAATATACAATATTATTATGTACAAGGCGGCGGTGGCAACGTCACCTTTTGTTGGGCTAGTAATAACAATAATATCAGCTACACTATTGTAATTTGTAGACCCAAAGGAGGGATTGGCGCACAGGTGTTGTCGAGTCGCGACTTCCTCGGCACACAACAAAGGGCTCTGTTCTGCACGAGTATATCACATAAGGCGGGAATCCGCAAGAAGAAGTACTATAATACAGTGTAGGTTAGGTCGGGCGATTGATTTAAGAAGGTGGAAAAAATAAAAACAACAGAATATGATCGTATTAGACGGTTTTCAAAGCACGATCGCTTGTAATAAGATTGTGACTACTTATTAAAGTGAGAACAAAACGAGCAAAGTGCTTGGAACATGGCTTGTATTGGATTTCTTGACGTGGTATTTTATTTAGCTTTTAATATACAACACAAGAATCTTTTCAATATATTTTATTTCTTTATTTTTTTTCGGTAATCAATTAGGCTCATCCGAATCATCTGCTTATGGTCCCTCGAGTACTTAATCCGGCTCTGTATGTATATCGTATGTATTGGTTTGCCCTAAAAAACCGTATGTACATAATATATAGTCTACAAAGGAGATTAAAAAACTATACAAAAAGCAAAACATAAAAGAGCTCCTTTCGGACCAAGGGAAAACTTAGTTGAAAATTTAAGTACTCAAACATTCAAAGGGAGCGTTTAATTTTAATTAAATTAAGCTGCAACCCATGCCTTGATTTGCATTTCGACTGCCAGTGTTCAACAGCGTTGAAAAAAAGATGATTGAAAAATTCTTTAAAATGCATACAAATTTACTATTATTATATCAACTATATGCTTTCGAATTTTAAAATCAAAAATACACATGTATTGCTAGCTGTTATTAGATGCTTATTGGTTTCTTATTTTTGATCTTGTTTCAAAAACATTTCAGTCAACGTGTTACAGGCTTTCTAATTTGTATATTTTTTTCCACCGTTAGTTTTTATACATAACTGTTGTACGCCCGCCTAAGTATGTTTTATTTAGTGTCGTCTAAAACAGTTTTAACACCAGTATGTTATACTTTTTAATAATGTTTTTAAATGTCAAACGATTTTGAATTGGGTCCAACGCACCATCAACGTAAGACACTTAATTTTCCAAAAATAATAGATATATTTGGGGGTTTAAACTTTTCGATTTTATTATTTGATGACCTATCGACCATTCAAAACGTACAGTAGATAATTATCAACTCAAAAAAATAATGTCATTAACATCATATGTTTTTTTTTAATGATAAAAATCTGCAGTTAAGCCTAGATTGTTGTCCTAGAAAACTAGCGTCGTTAAATCGATCACCCTGTATAATTATTGTCTTGCGGTAAGTGCATTAGGTCTTGGCCGCAATTGCTCGAGCGCGCGCGCTATATGCACGTATACGTATATTATATTGTGCACAAATTATTATAGCCGAAGAGGTGCAAAGTGCCTAGCAGAGTGCCTGTTCCTCCTCCGCCGCCGCCGTCGCCGCCGCGGCTCACAACGGCACATCTGCGAACACCGGTCGCGCGTGTTGTTGTTTCGTTTGCGGCGCGTGCTGTACGGTTAACGGTGGACTATCATAACGCCACCTCCCCGTCGTCTTGGTCGAGCCCGGTGCGCCGGTATTGTTCCTAGACGGCGGCGCGGCGTCCCATAACACACGCCGTCCGTCGCAGCTGCCGCGCCGTATATTATGTGTATATACGTTGGCCGTCGCGGTATATAATATTGTTATGTACATATATACACAACCGTGGCACATGTGTATACGATATATATATATAGCGTATGTATAGGTATATATATATATATAGGCGTACGCGTATAAATAGTATAACACGCGGCACGAGCAATCCCGCTCGCCGCACCCCCCCCCCCATCGGGGCCCGGCCGGTGTTAAGGGCGCGTATATAATATAATACTCGGCGGGTAGTGATTGAATTCGGGTTTGCACATTCATAAAAGGATTTCCCCCCGCCCTTCCCTTCCCCGTGGCACTCGGTCCGCCGCGTAACTGCAGTCTCCCTAACGTGACGATATATATATATATATATATGTATAAGTGTACAAAAATATATAGGGGGCCGGTGCTGAGTGAACCGGGTACGTGCAGTTTGTACAGCCGCCGCCCGCCCCCACTCTGCCGCATACCTTGTACCTATATTATGCGTGTATACCATATTCTAATAGTGCACCCCGAGTCGGTAAAAACCACCTGCCGCCGCCGTATACGGCCAACGTTCGCCAACGGGTCCATTGTAATGCATCTGCTCGCGGCTCCCCCCTCGCGTTTCCTTCCCCCCCCCCCCGATTTTCATTCACCCCGCCGGCAACCGGTTCGAAATCAAAATTCGTACAATGAATAATTATTATTATTTTCATACGAACACAAGACGTAGTGTATAACCGCCGCCGCCGCTGCATCCTCTGAGGTGTGTGCGCGCGCGCGCGCCGCAGTCGCCTCGAACGCAGATTGCCTCGCTTCTGGTGTGTTTGAATCCGTTATGGGCATATATGGGCTGCTATTACACCAATGTTTGCATATTGTGTGCGACGGGCACCTGCCGCCGTTGTAATTCGCTAAATCCTATCCGTTTTGGGCGACACGCGTCGTCTGCGGCACCTGGTGAGGTGCGGTAGGTGAGATTGGAGGAAACACAAACGATCGGTTTGCGGTGACGCGCACGCGTCCGGTATTTTCGTTATAATTGATGTTGATGATGATTGTTTTGCTTATATAGACAAGAGATGTATTTTTTTATTTTTATTTGTTTATAGACTCTATACAAATAATATAAAGAGATTAGAGATAAGAAATAAGGGATTAGAAATAGAGTTTTAATAAATATTCTTACTATATTAACATGTTGAAACGACCGAGGAACGAGTCCAAGTCTAGAAATAATACATTATAGAATTATATTATAGGCCTAAGATATTATACACTTCAATATTCTAAAAATATATTTTATAGTCTTTTTTTTTTTTTTGGCTAGACATTTAATGTCTTACAAATATTACCTACAAAGTATCGTTTAAGTATAAAGTTATTGAACTTGAAACTTCAATAACTTCAAAAATAGTTATCCAAAACTGGTTATCGACCAGTCAACATTTTTAGTACATTATTCTCAGTTTAAAAAGTTAATTAAATTTATGCGTTGCCATTTAAGTTTCAAAAGTTGCTATCAAAAAAGTAAGTTAGAGGGTGGAAAAACAAAAACAAAAATGGTGAGAAATGGAGATCACATTGCATACAAACACTATGCAAAAAAAAATGTAATTTATTATTAAACCCTATGAGATATTGAGTGGTCCACGATAAGTTGATCACTTTGTATAAATATTTATATGTAAAACATATTTTATTAACTTCTTAAGTACAGAATAATTGTCTGAAAAATACCTATTAAGTATAAGCAACTTTCTCTTTTTAAAAATAGGTATTTAGTTTGGTAAAAAGTTAACAAAATTAAAACAATTTTGGGTGGCGCACACCTCGCCTCATGTCAGCTCAAGGATTACACTAAGATAATATATATTTTTTCTCGTTCAAAAGGGTTTTATCCTCTAGCGGGGAGAACTATAAAGATGTTGACTTTAATTTTCATAAATAAACTAATTTTCTCAAACCTCAAATGCACCGTCTCGTCAACGCTAATCCTGCGTATGAACAGCTGCTTGCTCGATGCAGCGCTAACGACCACCTTTTCAATTGAGGTATTTTATTTCACTTTCTTTTAAGCAAATAGCACACAATACTTTCGTAAACCGTTTAGTATACGGTAAATAAGTCTGCACGACGGTTTTGCGTTCACAATACATACAGAAGGAGTAACAAATAATAGTTCATGAAATAAAATACATACAATTTTATGTTTCATGAATATAATTGATCATAATAATTATCTGTATGTTTAACTCTCCCAGGGTCTTAAAATATCTAAAACTAACACAGAACACCCAAGTTTTTCCACGTTATTACTGCTCGGGAACGTTAACACCATTTTATACTCCCCGTAGAAAAAAACCTTGGGGAAATTAGTGTCCGTCAATTGGCCAAGATCGATTCCAGATGACACATAAACGCCCTAAAACAACGTCAAAAAAATGTATAATATATTTTATTATTTTAAAATTATAAGATACATTAAAAACAAATTATTCAGAATATAAATTTATTGAAAATTCAGAATTAATTACACGAAGGGGCTATTTCGATCAAGAGGTAATACTATTTGTCAACGAGATTATAATAACTTTTACCGGCTTTATTGGACAATCCATATCAGAAAAATGAAATCCTTTGACATAAAGCTGCCACACATTTTCAAATAATTCCTTCATTTTCGAACAAGCCTTAGTCGTGGTATAGACATGTGCGTTATCTACCCAACCGCCGATTGATCCTCTTTTGGCCATATTGATGTTAAGCTAGAAAATAACACAATAATGTTATAAATCATATAAATACAATTTTGTAGAATATTACATTTCTGCCCAAAAAATAATTGTCTTATATAAGAAAAAAATGTATTTTTCTACTGACTGGAAAATCTTGGAATTATTATTGTTATTATAATTGATAAAATCCAATAAACGCCTAAATGAGCAACTGTTTATTGTTTAACCTATTAGTTTTAAATCACAATAAATTATAATGCTCTAGATGTGCAATAAGAAAGGATTTTCCAAAATCATAGCTAGTAAGTATATATATATATAAAACTATATATGTTTCTACAGCTAAACATGGTATAATAATTATTATGAATAAATCGAAATAAACTCACGGTAAGTGAATCGTCGAATGGAATTAAATAGGTTATATTACCTACTAATTCAAAACCAGTGGCACTTTTTTTACTTAAGTACGTGTTATACTGTAACTTGTGTTTTTCAGTAGATTCACACGGGAATACAGCTTTTAAATTGGTCTTATACTCTCCCTGAAATGATAGATTTAAAATTAGATACTAATAATTCGACCGGATCGATTAGGGTTTAATTTGTGTACTTTACCATTGGCAAATTCGAAAAGTATGTAGGTGGCTTGTTTATTGCTGTTGTATTTAAAACGCACCATGCAATCAGTATAATAGTTAGCAGAAACATTATATGATATAACGACAAATAGCTTCAAGCAAATTAAATTACAAGTTACAAACTCAGCTTTCAATAGCGGCATACATGTATTAATAGCTACAGTAGGTCTATCCTCATTTGTTTTGAATACATAAAATAAAATAAAAAAATTGTACATAGTAGTTCTTTTGTTAAAAAATTGAAAATGTATAATTTACTTTTAATCAGCAATCAACATCATTAAATTATAATGCTACGTTTGTGACATTGAACCGTGAACAATCGTTATTATGATGTTAATGATATTATGTAAAAAATAATTTTATATTCATCTGGAGTACTCGTTAAAATAATAATAATTATAACAAAATAAACTTTTAATTTGGCCTAACTAAACTAAAAATGTAGTGCTCATAGACCTATATGAATTACATACCATCAACATTTTCCCCGTTATTTGGGCTGACTAAACAAAATATTTAATGCTATTCTAGTTCAAAAGCAACATAATAGTACCATGAGTCCTTTTTTTCACCGTTTTCACAAAGTATGACCACAGATTTTTTGCGTAAACTGTATATTGACTATATACGGACGAATTTTCAGAACCTTAAGTCCTAACACTTTGCTCGAAAAAGAAAACTAAAGAAAACTTTTGCACCTCTTAATTGGGGGAACAGATTTATGATATTTTGTGATTTTGATCTATCTTCGTATTATACACACTGCACACAATAATGCTTAACTCATTAAAATTAATACTTTTGTTGATTATTAAAATTTAATAAACTCTGGAAATATTTTAAACTTTTACTATACATTTTATATTAAATTAGGATTTTTTATTTATAAATAATTTTCTGAAAATGTTCACTGATCTACAACCAGTTTTAAATGATTACTTTTAAAGTTAGTATGAAGTTTAAGTCGGTGTACGAGAAGATAAAAATAATACTACATTCCACATTCAGTAACATAATTATTCAGAATTTGGTTATCGACCCGACTGATTTTTTTATTAAATTGTTCTATTCTTAAAAAGTTATTATTGCATTGTATTACATGACCACACATATACACATTACATTACCACTAAAAAAAAGTGCATCAACAGTTGATACAGCTCTAGAAATTACCAAAAAAGATTTTCAAAATTGAATATTGTTTAATATTGTAAAATAAAATACACTTAAATGTCTGCAAAAAGAAGAATTACAAAATTGCAATCATCTTAAGAGTTATTGAGTGCCTTGCGTATAGAACATAAGACAACAAAAAATAGCTAAGCCGTCAGCTACAATTATTTTTAAGTAAAAATATTATTTAAAATAAGCTTTTACTGGTTAAGTATACCTGACTGCGCATTTATAATAAGCTTCTAGAATAAATATAATTATAAAAATAATATTTAATTTTTAACAAAATTCATAGCGTCGAATTTTTTTTAAAATCATTTTCATTTAATTATAATTAATTTTGATTATATGTACTTTGCATAGCATGAGTAAATATTTTGTTTGCGTTACCTTTACCGAACGGCTAAGCTATTTTTATAATCATATTATAATATACGTTACAATATTATACTTTATTGTTTTTACAAATTATGTTCAGTGCCTAAAAGATCATAACTACAAATCACGAAAATGTATAACAGACGAATAATATTAATAAATGCACAACGCCGCGCCATCTATGACTCCACAATAGAACTAATACTTTGTTAAGACCACTCGATGTCATGACACAAACATTATTTTATAAAAAATATATAAAACTCTTTTGAGTTTTAACTTAATAAAAAATGTCCAACTATGCGAAGGGTTGTTTAGCGTTTTGCATTGTAAAAATGAGCTGAAAAGAAGGTTGATTTTGTATTAATTTAAAGGTACCTATATAAAAGAGAGACAATAATACTTTGTCTATAAATAATATAAAATATTGCAAATTCTAGTGAAGGTGGTAATTTATAATTAAGCTGTATTAAGTATCAGAGGAATCGATTTCTTCATACTTGTGATTTAATAACTGCTCTGACCTAACTTTGTTAACTTCTTCTGTACTGGATTAGCTTGTGTTTGGTTTTTTTTTTAATGTCATTTGTGCTGTGTGTACAATTCCACTTTACCCCTTTAAAAATAGCACAATTTATTCGGTTTAAAATTTTTTTTGTTTTTTATTTATCTCACATCACGGCCGTGATTGACTATAGCTAATATGTAGTTTATACCATAGATTTTTTTTATTGTTCAGACTTTATAGGTTACTATTATTATTATAAGTACACTTGGGGTATATCTTCAGTATATACCGAGTTCTGTCACATCGAATTTTTTGGCTGTGATTTAAAAAGAAAAAAAAAATCTATGAATTATAAATTTCGTGTCCTTCCCTTTCCAAAAAATAATACAATCTGTTACTATCAGATTTTGCATAATAATTTTTAAAACTCTACCCACTGAATGTGTTATGGTCATAACTATTGTTGCTGTTGGCATTGGAGTTTCTATACCATTGCTGATTTTATCTATTCTAATTAGTATTCTCCCTATTATGATTAGGTATAAGGCCTATATTTATTTTGTACAGTGTTGTTCATATTACCTCTGTTGTTATTGTTATTTCTATTATCCCAATCATTATTATTATTATTATTGCTACGACTCGCTTTAGTTAGATACCTCGTGCGCTTTTGTATTTTTGATATTGTCTTTGAATATCCACTCCAGCGTTGGATGCTTATCGCCAGAGCTGATTGTCATCAGGGGGGAATTTAGAAGATCATAATATCCAATTTTTTTAAAGAAACGAAAATATAATTTTCATACATTGTCGCTAAAATCAACCAAACCCTTTAGCTAAATAGGCGAAAAGTAGGCAACCGCACGTACACCAATACCATGGCGCCGTATTCGGGAATGACAAGGCAACCAACTATACACACCTACAATTGTGCCGTATGTTGCCATGGTGGGCAACCGAACAGGGCGAAATTACTAATAATTTTTTACTGTAAAATTCATCTATTAAGCCACGAATGACAATAATCTAAGATTCACTACAATTCGTATTCACAAACAACCCAAAATCATTACATCGAGCATGATAAAACGTTCAAGAAAAACCTTAATAATTAGGCAAAAAGCAAAAGTTAACTATTAGGTATAGGGTATTTAATGTGATTAAATTAGCCATAAGGTAATGTATGTATATTATAGGTTATAGATTTTAAAATAAATAATTATTAATACAGCATCATACTTGATTTTGAACGACAATAGATTCGGAAACAGCATATTTTACAGCAGCGTTAGTGTTATCACTTATCACTCACATCATTATTGACATTATCGTTATTGTTAGGTGTAGTACACTTTACAAAGTACCTATTTTGTTATAACATTTTTCGTATCCAAATTTATTTTAATTTTTCTGTCAATATTGGCACAATTCACAATACATAAGTAGTCATGGATCTAATAGTAACATCATCATGGACCACGGTAGAATAGGATTTTTATTTTCTATGTTAAAAGATTATAGTATTTTTTATATTGATAACTAATATGTGATAACAATTAAAACAACTAACGCTAATATAAAATTGATGTATTAAGCTAAAAAATATGTAAGGGGGAGGGGTTAAACTCCACATCGAAGCTAAAATACAAAAACTTAAATTAAAAAAATATAACCCTCACAAATTGTTTTATTTTTTTATTTTCCTTATTTACTTAATATGTATTGTTAATAACAGCTATTTACGGCGTTAATATCTAAAACAAAAACCGGATCCAGAATTTAGGCAAATTAAACAAATAATAGTTCATATAATGAAACAAAATATATAATTTTCATATGTCATGAATAAAATTTATAACTATATTATAATGTTTAGCTCTCCCAGGGTCTTAAAATATCTAAAACTAACACAGAACACCCAAGTTTTTCCCCGTTACTACTGCGAGTAAACGTAATCACCATTTTATATTCTCCGTAAAAAAATTGCTTGGGAAAATTGGTACTCAGCAACTTGGCAAGGTCGATTCCAGATGACACATAAACACCCTAAAATTATGCCAAAAAAAATGTATAAAATATTTTATTATAATAAAATGTAAAAGATACATTAAAAACAAATTACTCAGAATATAAATTAATTAAAAATTCAGAATGAATAACATTTTGGGCGATTTCGATCAAGAGGTAATAATAATTATCAACGATATTATAAAATTTTTTACCGGCTTTATCGGACAGTTGGGGCTAGCAAAATGAAATCCTTCTATATAAGTCTGCCAATCATTTCCAAACAAATATTTGAATTTCGAACAAGCTTTAGTCGAGGTGTAGACATGTGCATTATCTATCCATCCACCGATTGATCCTTTTGTAGCCATATTGATATTAAGCTACAAACAACATAATGTATACTTTTGTGCAAAATATTAATACAATTTTGTGAATTTTATTTTGCAGAACATTACATTTTTTCCCAAAAAATAAATGTAAAAAACTTGTATAACTTATGTAAAACATAAATGTAAAAAAACAATGTGATAAATATATGAAATAGTTTTATTTTTCGGTTAACTGGTAAGACTATTGGAATCAGATCCAAGAGGAGGGAGATTCATGGGGTTAAATGAATTTTTTTTTCGATTTTTTTGGCCATAGTTATATAAAGTATTTTAAAATTTTTCTTTACTCTTCTTTTTTATTGTATCTTTAACCATAATGAAAATAATCTCAGCTTTCTGAAAAAAATTTATTTGTTTTTTTGTTTAACAGAAAGTCATTTAAATTATGTTGCTCAAAGTTTGAGAATTTTTAAAAAAATTGGGATAGTTTTACAGAAAAATTGTAAATTTTAAACTGGGTTTATATAAACGCTAAGAAAAAGGAAAAAAAAAGAGAAATTTCATAGAAAAGTAAAAGAAGCGAAAAATAATCTTAATTTTAGCTTGACATCTTCTCTATAGGGGCTAAGAGAAACCATTTTTTAATTTTATGTTTTTAAAATTGTATTATAACTTACAATTTTGAAGTGTTTATATTTTTACTTCACTATAGTTTTTTTCAAATAAAACTAACTTATTATCTTATAGCTCAATCAAAATCGGCCTTTAAGAGTCCATAGAGAAAGTAGTAGATACACCAAAAATGTACTTCTACGAAAGTAAATTTTACTTATTAATAATATACTATAATTATTTGATTTTTAAAAAAAAAATTATTCTTTTGCTCTGAGCAACTTAACCCCCCCCCCCCCAAAAAAAAATAAAGATTTCTAGTTCCACACCTGCTTGGAATTACTATTATTATATTTTTTATGTATCATATAAAATCACATCTAAATAAACGCTTCAAAGAGCAACTTTAACAATTATAAACAATTAAAATAGATAAATAATAATAAAGACAATTTATTTCATTAGTATTGTA